ATAAAGCAAAGAAAATATGGAGTCCATATAGATAAGTTTTCATGTCAGTCATTGTATTACACAATATGAATACATGAGTCTGTGAATACATTTGCGGAGAATAGGCAAGGCTGTAGGCATATATAGGCTATCATCAAAATAACCGAAGATTATCATAGAATGGTCAGTTAAAGTGTCTGAACCAGGAGAGTCCATATAAATAAGTCTTCATGTCAGTCACTGTATCACACAATATGATTACATGAGTCTGTGAATACATTTGCGGAGAATAGGCAAGGCTGTAGGCATATATAGGCTATCATCAAAATAACCGAAGATTATCATAGAATGGTCAGTTAAAGTGTCTGAACCAGGAATTTATACAAAATGAACATGCACAAAACTACACATGCAAATATTTATTTGTATTATGATTTTTTCTTTTCAAAGAAGTGAGTGACACCTGAAACTGCGCAAGTGGTTCGCATTATTTGAATCAGAATACGAAGCAGTCACGTGGTTGTGTGCGAAAACGAAGCTTCGGACGTCACAGATCACGTGGTTTTGGCAAAATGAATCAAGCTCCAGTACAGTGCTTCACTGTGAGATGTTTCGAAGCCTCGGTGTTGAACGTCACATCACTAGTTTCTAGTTCCTAGTCTCAGTTCCTAGTTCTAGTCTTAGTCTAGTCTCGTTGTGTCTCCTGATTTCCTGGTTTCTGATTCTTGCCTGCATATCTTGGATTTACCTTTTGCCTTGCCGTTTCGGACTGTGTTTGCCCCTCGCCTGGACTATTGCTCACGTTTACGGATTACCTCTCTTGTCAAGCCCTCTGGATAACGTTCGCTGTCGTCTGACTCAAGCCCGTTTTGGATTGCTCTTTTGTCTTGCCTGTGCCATACCTGTTTGCTGTTGTTCGACCCTGCCTGTGTTTTTTGACCATGTTTATTAATAAAAGTTTGCATATGGATCCACACGCCTCTCATCTCGTCAGCTCCGTTACAAAAAGTATTAATGATGGATGTGTTTCTTACAAACGCACAGCTTTTCACTTTACAAGACATTAACTGATGGACTGGAGTGATGTGGATTATTGTGATGTTGTTATCAGCTGTTTGGACTCTCATTCTGACGGCACCCATTCACTGCAGAGGATCCATTGGTGAGCAATTGATGTGATGCTACATTTCTACAAATCTGTTCCGAAGTTTCATATAAGGATATGGCAGAAATAGTACGAGTAATATAGTTGTATGCTACTCTGAATAGTATGATTTTACATGGTTTAAGTGCTAAAATAATGGAGGCCAATTGTCTGATCGTTTCAGATTTGTGGTCTTTGCTGGATTAGCTTTTATCTGCTTTGTCTCAGAATAGAAGTGCTTTGCTGATGTACAACTTCCTTGAGGCTTATCAAACCTTACACTTTATGCAAATTTTCCACAGAATAACCAAGTTTATTAATTTTGTCCAGTATGCATGAATATTCTGTTCTGAATGGTTGTTAATGTGTTGCTATATGGTTGCAAGCAAACTACTAATTAACGTGAAATGATGATTAATTCCTCCTGTGCATCTCAATTTCAGAGTTTTAAACTACATCTCACTGAAAACCATCAGCACTCACAGTTTTGATGGCCTGAAGGGAGTAAAAAGAATGTGAGTAGTCACTGTTTTTAAAAATGACAACCGATAACCAGATGTTTAGCATGTCTAGTGAAGGGTTACGCCATCCATCATCACTCCTCTTCAAGCCAACAGGCTCATTTCCACATCATTTGATCTGTGAAGAAAATCTTTGATGTTCACACCCCGTTTTACAGAGTCGAAGAAGCTTTCCATGCCAATTTTCTTTGAAGCCCTTAGAAAAAGCTCAGGACATCCAAGTTGGGAGGAACAGTTTGCACAGAATAGATTCTTTTTTGGCCTGAATAGGGGGCATTAAAAGGAACAGCCTTTTGTCTATGAAAGTTTTAATATCACACTTAGAATCCAGTGGATTTTGTAAAGAATCTTACTTTCATTTGTCCAAAAAAAGCATCTCTTTCCCTCGAAATGGCTTCAAATAAAAATTCCTATTTGAACTAACCTTTATAAACCGTTTTTAAAATGCAGAACTTTATAAAGCAACCACAACATAAACAAAAACCTGAATTAGAATGCAATGTGATTAGACATGTTTAAATAAATGACCATAACAGAGATGATGGTGAAAGCTGTTTTTCTTTTATTAATAAGTAGTTGATGCAGAAGTATTTTGGCCAAATGCACTGCTTCAGTAAATGTCTGTTTTTGCTTTTTGTCATTTATGTGAACATTTTATGAACAAGAAATATGTCTAATAAAAACCACTGTTTGGAATAAAGACTAGACGGAGTTACAGACAGATTAGCAGGCGGTCTACGTTATGCTTCACAATTTTTCTCATTCAGGGAAATGTAATCTCATTAGTATTCGTAAGTATTTGTATGTGAAGTACAATTGTAGCACATGTACCACTCAGAGTTTATGGGATATTATGGGAGTTTATGAGAATTAATATTTATGGGAGTTTATGGGATATTAAATTCATAGGTTGATTTTAGTGACATACAGTAAATGGCAATGACATAAATTAAATATGTTTAACAGCATCATATTTGTTTAATGCATGCATTTAGGTAATTCAGCATTACAGCAATTATGTTCAGTTCTATGATTTCTAAAGACTGGGCAGACATATTTTGATTATTCACGAGCACACGTTAAAAAAATTTCTCAAAGTTTCTCCATCATTTACATCATGTTAATGAGAGTCACGATATTTCAGAAACAAATTCCAGTTCCAACTGGTTTTATACTATAGCTGCTGTCAGTCAGTGCATTGATATTGTATATTTTAAATTACATTCAAATGTACATTTATATTTACATTTAGTCATTTAGCAGACGCTTTTATCCAAAGCGACTTACAAATGAGGACAATAGAAGCAATCAAAACTAACAAAAGAGCAACAATATATGAGTGCAAATGACAAGTCTTGGTTAGCCAAATGCAGTACACGTAGCAAGGTATATATATATATATATATTCATTTGCACTTATATATTGTTGCTCTTTTGTGTGTGTGTGTATATATATATATATATACACACACACACACAAACACACACACACACAAAGAAAAACAAGTAGATAGAATAGAAAAAATAGAATAGAAAAATATAAATAAATAAAAAAATTTAAATAAAAAAAAGATAAATGTAGACAAAGTAGAATTAAAATAGAATAGAAAGTGCTAGAGTTAGAGGGTCAAATAAAGGTTAAAGGTTAACATACAAAATTTTATCTATCAAAGTTTAAATGCCAAAGTCAACATGAATTCAAATTTAACCTGTACTTTTTTTACATTCCTCATCGTGTTTTGGGACACATTTTACCTATTATTTTTCTTGTTCTTGTTTTTGGATCCAGAGAAATCGCCCAGAGCATATCAGTGGAAACCATAGAGACGGAAGCATTTAACAATCTTCTGAATGTCTCCGAGATGTAAGAAACCACTCAAGGAACAATGCTAGTGATTCACAGATCATTTAATGACTGTATTTAATTGCTTGTCGTAATTAAAACAGACTGGAACAGAAAGTTCTTTTCACAAAAATCTGTCATTTGTTTGTGATTTCTCGTGTGTCACAGCTCAATCCAGAACACACGGAGCCTCGTTCACATTCACGAATGGGCGTTCAACCACCTTCCCAAGCTGAGATATCTGTAAGCAGTTCCTCCCTAAATATCAACTTCTCAGACATTGAGACATTGTTAAGCTTTCTTTATTAAAATCTCTGCTGTTAAAATCTTTAAAGTTTCCATTTGCTCTGTAATAATATCATTGATATCTAGAAAAAACTACTTAGATATTAGAGATAAATTGATCTTGTTTATGTTTTCATTTTTCTACTGGTTGTTTTATAAATAAATAAATTATATATATACATATGTATATATATATATATATATATATATATGATATTTTTATATTTCAATGTATGTTTTCCATATGTTTCCATGTTTCATTTATATATATATATATATGAAACATTTTATATAATTCTTGTGTACATTTTAGGAATACTGTGACTTTCATATATACATATATGACAAATATATACAACTGAGATATCATAGATGAACTGAGATAAATTGATCTTGTTTATGTTTTTCTTTTTCTACTGGTTGTTATCCATATTTGATATATTTCAGTAGTAGCTTTTTGTTTTCTAAAAATAATTTTAAAAAGTAAAAAAAAGGTATATATTTGTCATTTTATATTTCTATATTTTCTATATTTAGAGTTTTTATATAGTTTTATATGTATAGCTTATATATAAAATTGTAATTACATATGTGACCCTGGACCACAAAACCAGTCATAAGGGTAAATTTTTCAAAACTGAGATGTATACATCATCTGAAAGCTGAATAAATAATCTTTCCATTGATGTATGGTTTGTTAGGATAGGACAATATTTGGCCGAGATACAACTGTTTGAATATCTGGAATCTGAGGGTGCAAAAAAAATATATATATAAATATTGAGAAAATCACCTTTAAAGTTGTCCAAATGAAGTTCTTAGCAATGCATATTACTAATCAAAAATTAAGTTTTGATATATTTTACGGTAGGAAATTTACAAAATATCTTCATGGAACATGATCTTTACTTAAGAAAAAGCAATAATTTTGACCCATACAATATATTTTTGGCTATTGATACAAATATATCCCAGCGACTTAACACTGCTTTTGTGCTCCAGGGTCACATATAAAGAATGTTATATATGAAATTATAAATAATTTTTGGGTAACTTTTAGGAATACTGTGACTTACACACACACACAGACACACACGTATATATTCTCAAAATTTGAACATAGTATAACAGGCTTCAATCTCTATGTGGCAATATGTTTTGTTGGTTCCATTTTCTTGTATCAGCAAAAACCAAAGTCCTATTGTTTTTAATTTTTTTATGTCTACAGGAGCATTTCCAACACTGGCATAAGTGTATTCCCTGACCTGACCTCCATCTTCTCCCTGGAGTCCGATTTCATTCTGTGAGTTTTACCCTGCTGCTGTTATATCTGTGTGAGAGATGTGGTAAGTGAGATTGAATGATGGCAAGTAATAGTGAAGCTGTAATGCGGGGGATGCTACTGTCTTTAATCTTTCTCAAGCTGACAGAAAATGGAGTGTTATGAAAGATATACAGATATACAGAACACTGGCTGAGAAGAGAGCACAGGCGTATTATATTAGGAGACTTTGTCCATGAGATTAATCTTGTCAGCAAAAGGGCTTATTGTTTCCATTACTGAAGTGGTTTTGTTCTTTTTTAGGTATATTTGTGATAATCTCAACCTGCGTTTAGTCCCAACAAATGCTTTCATCGGAATGACGAGTGAATTCATCACAATGCAAGTATCTCACAAATTATGGATTCAGGGCTGTAATCTCCATAGATCAGGAATTCTACAAATTTTTATTTATATTTCAATAATTTCAGAATACATTCACGTGTTCACAGTTCTCTAATGTTGGTAACTGGTTACATGACATACACGTTCACAAGTTTGGGGTCAGTAAGGTTTTTTTTTTTTAAAGAAATTAATACTTTTATTCAGCAAAGACACATTGAAATGATCAAAAGTGTCAATAAAGAGTCAATAAAGTCATTTATAATGCAACAAAATATTTCATGTTTCAAGTTTCCACAAACAATATGAATCAGCACAACTGTTTTCAACATTGATAATAATATTTCTTGAGCAGCAAATCAGCATATTAGAATGATTTCTGAAGGATCATGTGACACTGAAGACTAATGATGCTGAAAATTCAGCTTTGCATCATAGGAATAAATTACATTTTAAAATATATTCAAATAGAAAACACAAAAAATAAATTGTAATAATATTTCATAATATATTCTGTTTAAACATAATATTTACTGTCTTTTGCAAACCCCAAACTGGGACATTGACATTGAAGGGTATGTATTCCTCTCAATATTCACATTAACAATTGATCAATATAGGTGTTCCAGTGGCCAATTAATCTATCATAATGTATATGTCCAAGGGGTCAAATCTTTACTTTTCATTTTGCCTTAAATTAGTTTTTATGACCATTGTCCACCCTCTCTGACCCTAAAAAATAAATGGGCCATTTTGCTGCTATGCCTTAAAGGGATAGTTCACCCAAAAATGAACATTTGATGTTTATCTGCTTACCCCCAGGGCATCCAAGATGTAGGTGACTTTGTTTCTTCAGTAGAACCCAAATTATGATTTTTAAGTCCAGCCGTTGCAGTCTATCTGTCGTATAATGCATGGCAATGGTAACAAAATCTATGAGAGTAAAAAAAACATGCAGACAAATCCAAATTAAACCCTGCGTCTCGTGATGACACACTGATGTCCTAAGACACGAAACGATCAGTTTGTGCGAGAAACCGAATAGTATTTATATAATTGTTTTACCTGTAATACACCACTATGTCCAACTTCCTTGAGCGTGCGCACAGCATCCGGTGCGTGAGGTGTGTGCGTGCTCTGGCGTAGTTTACACAAGTGCCGGAAGTGATCTCTCATGCGTATACTTCACTCATTGTTTACACAGTCATTGTTGGTATGACGGCGTAATCAAAATGACGACGTAATCAAAATGATACTTACTTGTGCTTATCCGGATTGTTCAAACCGACTTAAAACTAAAAGATTACTGTGATAAAGTTCGTTTTAGGGTAAAGGAAGAAGTCGGAGTCGGCGTGACTGAGGCTCGTGGAATTTATTTAGCTCTCCCAAAATCATAAGCATAGGCGTGATCACACGCATCAAACAACATAAACTCAGAGCACGTTGGCTGTATTCTCGGTCACTTGGGCCACGAGTCCTCAGTCGGTCTCTCTCTCCCCTGCTTCCGCTCCGCCGTGGCCTTTTACGGTCTCCCCACGCCAATCACTGTAAATAGAAGCAGGTGAATGTCATTCTGCACTTGACCTACTTACTCACCGCTCGTCTCCGACTGCTCCCTCCTGCTGCTCCCTCCCGCTGCAAACCCCGCTAAACCATGCCCCCCTCGCCACAATAACGTTCTCTCGCGCGAACTCATTCGGGAGTGGTGACTTTCCACTAACTGTTGGAGTTAAAAATCATCAAATGTGTTCTACTGAAGAAACAAAGTCACCGAAATTTTGGACGCCCTGGGGGTAAGCAGATAAACATCAAATTTTCATTTTTGGGTGAACTATCCCTTTAAAGCAGCACTATGTAACTTTTGGCGCTCTAGTGGTTAATAAACAGAACTGCACACATCCCGGGGAAGAACATTCCAACCGGAGCTACTTCTCTTAGTTTATGTCTATGGCGATTCATGCAGTCATGCGGTGATGACCCGACCAGGCTACAATAGTCCAAATATAAGTACTTATTATAAGTGTACCGTAGTGAGTCGGAATAAGAGAAAAACGCGGTTTGGAAGATGAATTCATGATGTACTCGCTCATTATATACATTTTGCAAATTTTGAACACAGAAAAAGTTACAGTGCTGCTTTAAAATCAACTATGTAAAAAGCCCCTTTGAAATGAATGGCTTTTGCAGCTCTTATTTGTGAGTTGAGGATTTGCTTTTTGATCCAGTTTAGTTTTTAACCGCCTCATCCTTTAATCAATAAATGCCCTTTTTGGACAGACTCCCCATGCTGTTAATCAAATCTTTGCTTAGTCTACGTAAGTGTACGAGACACACAGCCTTCAATCTCTGTGTCTGTATGCAAACAAGATAGCAAAGCTTTTAATCACAAGCACTTCCTGTTGCATGCATACTTTTATATAAATATCAGTGTTGTGTTAGGCAACAGGTTTTAAACCAGAGAATTATGTACTTGAACACAATAGTGGTAAGTACCATAGTATTTGGACTTTAAGTCATCCCTAGTGATAATAAATATACTAAAATGTATTTGAAATACATTTGTTTCATGCTAAGTATACTACAAATACATTAACATATTTATGTACTTAATAAAAATACAGTGCAATTGTACTTTTAGTATACTAAACTAGTATGCTAAACTGGAACAACTAATTTTATTCACAATTTTATTGTGCGGAAGTAGCACTGAAGTCAAACTAAAGATGTACTGAAGTATATTTGATTGTGCTAAAGTGGAGCTATTGCAAGTATACTTTAGGTACACATCTTGCATTAAAGACTGATATTATTCAAAGATCATACAATCCTCCTCAATAGTGACATTGAAACACATTTTAGGAAACATTATGAAATGTGCATTGTGCACAATTAGTACTCCAAGTACAGTTTAATTCTAATTTTTATATTAGTAAGTCTCGAGGCAATATGTCAGTAAATATGTTAATAGATTTGAACTATACTTAGTATGAAATAAATGTATTTCTTCTTTTTTTACTCAGGATTATCTGCTATTTATATTTTTTCCTCCTTTTTTTGTCTTCTCAGGAATCTCTTTAACAATGGATTTCAAGAAATAGAAAGCCATGCCTTCAATGGAACTAAAATAGATAAACTGTAAATATTGACAAATGATGGATACACTAATCTCCTTTCAGTTCTGCTTTATTCATGTTGTTTATCTACAGTATTGTGCTTTACACTGTAAAAAATAGTTTTGTTGTAAACAAGATTATTGCAGAAAATACTATTCTATACTATAATACTATACTATAATGCTACTATTTTATATATATTATTTGTGGAATTTACTAGCCATTTCTGAGTGAAAATAGTTTTAAAGTAAATCTGACACATCAGTGTAAAATCACAGTATAATCTGTTTGTTTTGCAGGGTATTAAAGAACAACAAATATCTGCGTGTGATTCATGAAGACGCTTTCGAAGGAGCGTTTGGCCCCACTATGCTGTAAGTGATATGACGCTGAAATACTGTTGCCGAGACTTTCCTTTTCTCTTGCAAATTCACTGTGAAGAGCTCATTTTGCCTTTCCTCTTCTCTGGAAGAAAAGTGCTTTGTGTCGAGTCTTATCAGATGTCGGTGTGAATGAGTAAAGATGGTGCATTACCTTACTAGTCTGAGCAAGAGTATTACCACACATGCTTTTAACTTTCAAGAAAACCTGAAGACCTTGCTTGGCTGGTTCGGGTGTGATTGATTGCAGGAGCATAAAGAAGCAGGATTGAGCACCTCCCAGGGGATGTCCAAATTCACATATATAATTGAAAGATTTTCATTCACTGATGACGGGAAGAGCACATGCTGAATGTACAGGTTTAATTTGGCAAATGGCTCAAGTTTGTCATCTTGAAAATGCATCGTTGCATTTTTAGCAACAACAAAAATTTTATAAACTCAGAATTTTGAGAAAATTCAGAATTGCTGGATAGAATTTCAGAACTTCGAGATATAAATGTGCAATTCTGATCAAATTAAGTCAAAATTGTCAAAAAAAAGTCAGAATTGCTATGTTAACTCAGAATTGCGAGAAAAAGAATTCTGAGAAATAAACTGAGAATTGTAAGATATAAACGGAGAATTCTGAAAATAAGTATGAATTGTGAGATATAAACTTCTGAAAAAAGTCAGAACTGTGAGAAAAAGTCAGAATTGCAAGATATAAATGCACAATTCTGAGAAAAAAAAATCTGAATTGTTCGATGTTAACTCAGAATTGTGAGAAAAAAAATCTGAATTGTAAGATATAAATAGAATTGCGAGAAAAAGAATTGTAAGATATAAGCTCAGAATTGTAATATATAAACTGAGAATTCTGAAAATAAGTATGAATTGTGAGATAAACTCATAGCTGTTAGACGTAAATTTGCAATTCTGAGAAAAAAAATCTGAATTGTAAGATATAAGCTCAGAATTGTAATATATAAACTGAGAATTCTGAAAATAAGTATGAATTGTGAGATAAACTCATAGCTGTTAGACGTAAATTTGCAATTCTCAAAAAAATGTTCACATTTTTGTGAGAAAGTTTAGAATTGCTGGATATAAATTCTGAACAGCGAGATATAAATTTGCAATTCTGAGAAAAAAAGTCAGAATTGCGAGAAAAAAAAATCAAAATTGTGATATATAAACTGTGGTATATATATATATATATATATATATATAGGGGAGAGCGGTGGGGCACAAAGTAACAATTTTTGACTTTCTCAGTTTGTGTAAATCCACATGGGGTTCAGAATATATATATTTTTTATCCACAGTAATTTTACACTTTATTTGTCTAGTACAAATATGTCGCTTTGTTTCATGATTACAGTGTATACGTTTTTTGTTAGACGTAAATTTGCAATTCTCAAAAAAAATTTCACATTTTTGTGAGAAAGTTTAGAATTGCTGGATATAAATTCTGAACAGCGAGATATAAATTTGCAATTCTGAGAAAAAAAGTCAGAATTGCAAGAAAAAAAAATCTAAATTGTGATATATAAACTGTGGTATATATATATATATATATATATATATATATATATAGGGGAGAGCGGTGGGGCACAAAGTAACAATTTTTGACTTTCTCAGTTTGTGTAAATCCACATGGGGTTCAGAATATATATATTTTTTATCCACAGTAATTTTACACTTTATTTGTCTAGTACAAATATGTCGCTTTGTTTCATGATTACAGTGTATACGTTTTTCTTTATTCACCCTCAAAAAATGGAAGTGAAATGTGACAACATGCCCCGTAGGTGGGGTACATTGTAACATCTGAGGGGCACGTTGTAACATGACCATATAACAGCTTTAAAATGTTATCTGATCGAATGAAATATACAAGACAAACTAAAATAAAATTATTGTTAGTAAAATTATTTTTTTCAAATAAAATAATGGCGTTTTTTAAGAATAAAATAATCAGATTTTGGAGTTGAGCACATTGCAATCATGCTTGTGACGGCCCGTATAAACGAGCCAAAATGCTTTACATGTCTTGAAATAATCATTTCTAAACATTAAACATTGACTGTAAATCTTTATTCACCTGTTTCTCATTGTTTCTCATTCAAATTCATTAAAGTAAATAGTGTAAATTACATCACTAATGTCATAGAATAGCAGTTACAACATGCCCCATCTGTGCACCTGGAGTTTAAAACCAGTTGCTGTCTTCTGCTAGTTACCGAAGCATTAAAAAAACGATCTAAACTGATAAATAACAGATTGGAGATTAAGATAATAGCAGATTTGTCTCATTTTAAATGATTATTAAAAACAGAGATTAAAAATTTACTTAAGCCAGAATTTAAATTTTACTATGGTAAAATAAATGTCAATTTATCTTCAATTTTTTTATTTATTTTGGCACACTTTTATTTCTATATAATGTTGATATGGTAACTAATAAATACTGTAAATTTTGTTATGCTAGCATGTGTGGAAATATTCAAACCATGTGTGTTACAACTAACCCCGCGTTACTTTGTGCCCTTTTTTGTGACTTTTTCTCCAGGGATGTGTCATCCAAAATAATGGCGTTTTTTAAGAATTACAAATAATCTGATTTTGGAGTTTGTCAATGAGCACATTGCAATCATGCTTGTGACGGCCCGTATAAACGAGCCAAAATGCTTTACATGTCTTGAAATAATAATTTCTAAACATTAAACATTGACTGTAAGTCTTTATTCACCTGTTTCACATTGTTTCTCATTAAAATTCATTAAAGTAAATAGTGTAAATTACATCACTAATGTCATAGAATAGCAGTGTTACAACATGTGTTATCTGCGCACCTGGAGTTTAAAACCAGTTGCTGTCTTCTGCTAGTTACCGAAGCATTAAAAAAACAATAAATAACAGATTGGAGATTAAGATAATAGCAGATTTGTCTCATTTTAAATGATTATTAAAAACAGAGATTAAAAATTTACTTAAGCCAGAATTTAAATTTTACTATGGTAAAATAAATGTCAATTTATCTTCAAATTTTTTATTTATTTTGGCACACTTTTATTTCTATATAATGTTGATATGGTAACTAATAAATACTGTAAATTTTGTTATGCTAGCATGTGTGGAAATATTCAAACCATGTGTGTTACAACTAACCCCGCGTTACTTTGTGCCCTTTTTTATTTGTTTGAGTTATTTTAGAATGAAAATGAGAAACGATGCTTGGTAGCTAGCTGAAATTAAAATAAACGCAAGTTTTTTTATATTGTATTTTATGTTGGGTAACGTTTATTTTATTTATGTTTTATTTAACGATAATAGCCCCATATATACAACTACTTAAGCAAAGTATGGTGTCATATTTTTCACCATACTGTGTCATGACTGTTTTCTCACTGTGTTCATTCTATTCTCAGTCCATCTGACGTCACCTCTGGTGATTCTCTAACACTGGATGGTCCTCTTGCATCTGACATTGTTGGATTCACATCAGCTGAGGACACGTTTGGCAGCATGGACTTCTATTACCCAGAGCTGGACCTGTGTCAGCGCCGACCGGCCCTCCAGTGCAGCCCAGAGGCTGACGCCTTCAACCCCTGCGAAGACATCGCCGGATTTGGCTTCTTGCGAGTGGCTATTTGGTTCATCAACGTTCTGGCCATCGTCGGCAACCTGACAGTGCTGCTTGTGTTATTCACCAGCCGCTGCAAACTGACCGTCCCGAAATTCCTCATGTGCCACCTGGCCTTCGCTGACCTCTGCATCGGCGTGTATCTGCTTATGATCGCCACCGTGGATCTCATGACACGAGGGCATTACAGCCAGCACGCTATCGAGTGGCAAACTGGAGTGGGATGCGGGATCGCCGGGTTTCTGTCCGTGTTTGGCGGTGAACTATCTGTCTATACTCTGTCTACCATTACCGTTGAGCGCTGGCACACGATCACACACGCTCTCCGTCTGGAACGACGTCTGGGATTGAGGCACGCTTCATCGATAATGGTCGTCGGATGGGTGGTTTGTCTAGGAATGGCTCTCCTCCCCTTAATGGGCGTCAGCAGCTACAACAAAGTCAGCATGTGTTTGCCGATGGACATCGAGACGCCTTTATCCCAAGCCTATGTTATACTCCTCCTGCTGTTCAACGTCGGCGCTTTCCTGGTGATTTGCAGCTGCTACGTGTGCATTTACACCGCCGTTCGCAACCCCGAGTTCCCCGGACGCGCCGCCGACGCCAAGATCGCCAAACGCATGGCTGTGCTGATCTTCACCGACTTTCTGTGCATGGCGCCCATTTCGTTTTTCGCCATCTCTGCGGCCTTTAAAGTCCCGCTCATCACGGTGACCAATTCGAAGATCCTCCTTGTGCTTTTCTACCCCATCAACTCATGCGCAAACCCCTTCCTCTACGCCATCTTCACCAGGGCCTTCAGAAAGGACGCATACATCCTTCTGAGCTCCATGGGCTGCTGCGAGAGCAAAGCCAACTTGTACCGAATGAAGACGTACTGCTCGGAGAACATCAACCGAAGCAAGAGCAGCTCCGGCTCCAATGGGAACTCCAAAGCTCCTCGCGCTGTTGTGTGGATGTCCAGCTTTCCTCACGTAACACCTCGACCGCGGATGCAAAGGGTGTAGGGAAACGGACATTCAGACTCATTTAATTCCATTATTTTCTTGGTGTTCTGCCCTTGAACTTTGCTCAATCTTATCTGGGAAGATGATATGGTTTTCAGAGGACAATGCAACTCATTTCCCCTCTTATCTGTCAATGTATTGACTTACAATTCAGAAGACACATGAGTCTTTTGACAGAGAATCTAGATGCATCAAAAAGCCACATTATGTGACAATCTCTACAAGATCGTTCTTACTTTACAGTGAGGTGGGAACCATCAGTCATTTTCAGAAACTCTTCACATGCTACAAGAGCATTTTATCCATTTGTTGCCTGAATTCAATCTGATTACTGTTTTACATAATTGCTGTAAAAAGTTCAATTTGTCAGTTTGAGGTCTTTTAATGTGGAAAAGAGTTTCCTTATTTAAGGTATAGGCCTTAACTAAGCTATATCCTCCTGAGACCCAGCTATGGAGTTTTTGCCTCTGTAGTGGACATTATATTTGAGTGAATTTCTCTGAGACCTCACATGTCACAGTTGTAAGTCTGGAGTCCTGTACAGAGCACATTCAGGGCTTTCCAGAGATACCAAATGATTGGATGTTTCACCATGACCACTCCCTCTCCTTGGTTTTTAAAAATGGCTGACATTAATTTAGTGATAAAATTGTACATCCTTATTGAAATATGATAATATTTTGTAATTATAATTCAAATCTGATTAATTTTCTAATTGTTTGTCATAAATCAACATCTCAGGAAAATGTTATGGGGTTTCAAATCAAAATATGACTTCCTGTTATGAAACAGGACATAATTTCATACATGTCCACTGTAGAGGACACCAGGACTAAAAGCATGTTTATTATACATTTTGGGAGACAAAAGAATTGAATAGGAAAACAAATTACATATCATTATTCTTATGAAATATGAGATATTATTATGAAAATCTGGCCAATTACTACTCCCATTATTACACTTCTTTTTTCAACATGCTGTCCCAACAACACTTTAATATGCAAATGAGATACAGTGTATAGATAACATTGTGCTTAATGGGAAAACCAGTTTATGGAACTTTTACACACATATTGCATAAAGCAAAATTGTATATCAAATCATGTTGTTATATATTTTATAACATAGCTGAGAACCATCCTTAAACAAAGTTAGTTATAAAAAAATCCTGAAACCTAAAAATTGATTGGTGATTTAAAAAAAAAAATCACATTGTTTTCATGTCTACTCTTGTCATTTTAGTTTTAGAAAAACCGAGTCCTGGTGTCCTATACAAAGGACATAGCATAACTTATGAATAAAATATAATTTTTCAATTTTCAATTTTCTTATGCTCTAACCAATGTAATGACATGAAAAAATACTAAATTCACAAAGCTTTTTATTTCTGGTTCTCAGGAGGATATAGAACTTATTCCAGTCTGATTGTCTGAGTTGTTGTTTTATGTAGGCTACTATGGAATAGCGCCACTTTGTGGACAAATTTCAAAACTATTGTTTTGAAAACATGAAGTTTTTTTTTTTTAGTTACTATGTAGTATTTGAGGTCTAATAAAATGCAAGCAAAATGTTTGCAGTCTTGTTTGCAGTCTTTTATGTACTTGAATTCCTAAACTAGACAAGGTTTGTTTTTTTGTTTTTTTTATACTGCCTAGTGTACATTTATTCATTCATATTCGCATTTTTATTTAAATATCCCAGCATTTTTCCCCACATGTTTCAAAGTACCTTCATAGAAAAGCTCAAATATCAGCAACACTGTATGGAATAGCGCCACTTTGTGGACAAATTTCAAAACTATTGTTTTGAAAACATTAAGTTTTTTTTTATAGTTACTATGTAGTATTTGAGGTCTAATAAAATGCAAGCAAAATGTTTGCAGTCTTGTTTGCAGTCTTTTATGTACTTGAATTCCTAAACTAGACAAGGTTTGTTTTTTTGTTTTTTTTATACTGCCTAGTGTACATTTATTCATTCATATTCGCATTTTTATTTAAATATCCCAGCATTTTTCCCCACATGTTTCAAAGTACCTTCATAGAAAAGCTCAAATATCAGCAACACTGTACACTCTAAAAAAATGCTGGGTTAAATACAACCCAGTGCTGGGTAAAATAGGGACAAACCCAGCAATTGGGATGTTTTGACCCAGCGGTTGCCCAACCTTCTGAGTAGTAACCCAACCGCTGGGCCAAAACAACCCAATTGCTGGGTTTGTCCCTATTTTACCCAGCACTGGGTTGTATTTAACCCAGCATTTTTTCCCACATGTTTCAAAGTACCTTCACAGAAAAGCTAAAATATCAGCAACACTGTACACTCTAAAAAATGCTGGGTTAAATACAACCCAGTGCTGGGTAAAATAGGGACAAACCCAGCAATTGGGATGTTTTGACCCAGCGGTTGCCCAACCTTCTGAGTAGTAACCCAACCGCTGGGCCAAAACAACCCAATTGCTGGGTTTGTCCCTATTTTACCCAGCACTGGGTTGTATTTAACCCAGCATTTTTTAGAGTGTATAACACAGCAAGTGGACTACTTGAGACAATAAAATCAATTTTTTTTCTACCGTTAATCATTCAAAATCAACTTTAAAATACTAATCATAAAATGATTAACGAATAGTAAACAAACAAAAACATGACATATTAGGTCATATATTTGTGAGAAGCGTCCCAGACTGCTGGTGTGACGTCATGCGAGGGCCCCAGTTCCTCCAGAGGGAGCTGCACTCATCACAGCGAAGCGCACGCATTCGTTCCTGTGTGAAATGACCCCGAGAAAAGAGCAAAGAAGATGTTATTCGATCTGCACATACTCTGCTTCATGCGAACGTTCGCCTGACACGCTTAGACCAAAGGGAAAAGAATGGAAAGCGCCATGGGGTTTATTTTAGGCAAAAGTTTCTCCGCGATGTTGCGCTTTTTAACTCCACTGCTCGTCGGATTGTTTTCACAGTCAGTCAGAGGGACAACTGGTAAGATGTGCGATTTTCTTAAAAGTTAATGTGATGTTTTGTGCATGCTTTAAAATCAACTGAATCAACAACCGTAGAAAGTCCAGAAAGTGCTGTTAAAGCGTGTGCGTGTGATGGGATTTGTGTCGTTTAATGCTTTGTTTTGCTCATTTGGAATCGATTTATGAGCAGGATCCTCGATCCTGGAATCAAGTTGGCAACACAAAACGTTTGCTTTTAAATAATAATAAAAAAAAAATCGCTTTAATAGTTTGATTTGTTATGTACTTTATTAAATATTTAAGCATACTCTACTAAATATTAATGATGTGAATTAATTTGTAAGATTTAATATGACATTAGTTTTTCAGACATGCAAAGATCTCAAACTGGATGGTGATACAGTTATTAAAATGTTGGACTTGAATTCTCTGTAAAGTTTTGAGGATTACAGCGCTGTGATAATAATCTGCCCTAGTTTCATAAAGATTTAGAAATTAAATAGTGCTAGTCTGTGACTCTGTTTCGCTCATGTGGTCAATAGCTATAAATGATGAGATTTTACTGAAATCTCACAGTAAATATTCCTAATAGTTTGTTACACAGTACTGCTGTTGACGGTTTTGTTGTTAAATATCAAAAAATTAAATCTTAATTTTATTATATGAGTAGATTTGACTTGATAAATTGACAGATTGTGAGTCAAAAACAAATTTAGGGATGTCATATTTATATATTTTTAAATTAAATTAAAATATTTTGTATTCCAGACTCACTTCGATACAATTATGCAAAACTTTGGAAAAAAAAAAAAGTTAAATACTTTTATTATTTTTTTTTTAATTAAAGTAGAAAAATATATTTCCCAAGTGATGTTTAACAGAGAGCAAGGGAATTTTAGCACAGTATTTCTTATTATATTTTTCCTCTAGAGAAAACCTTATTTCTTTCAATTTTGCCCAGAATAAAATAATTATTTAAAAACCAAAAAAAAACTGCTGAGGTTAATATTATTTGCCCCCTAAAGAAATGATCTGTTTGATTGGCTACAGAGCAAACCACTGTTGTCCAGTGACTTGCCTAATTAACCTAATTAATCCTCTGAGCCTTTAAATTGCACTTTAAGCTGAGGATTAGTACCTTGCAAAACAACTAGTAAAATAATACTGTCATCATGGCAAAGACAAAATAACTTAGTTTAGACTTGAGAAAAATAATTATTAATGCTCACAAAGGAGGAGAAGGATATACATATTTATCAAAGCGTGTCAAAAACTTCTGTGAGAAGTATTATCAAGACCCAAAAACAACTGCAAAGACACTAGTGAATGATTTAGCCAAGTTTGGGACTGATGTCTCAACGAAGACACTCACTAGTGCCCTGCACAGGAATAGACTGTGAGGCTGCCGACCAAGAAAAGACTGAACCTCCAAGCTAGACTGAAGTTTGCCAAGGACAATCTGGAGAAAAATGATGCATACTGCAAACATGTCCTTTGGTCAGGTGAGTCAAAACTAGAGTACTTTGGCCATAGAGGGGTTACCTATGTTTGGAGAAAGAAGGGACCCAACCCAAAGAACACCGTTCCCACAGCGGCAGGTGGGAGTATAATACTGTAGGGATGTTTCAGTGCGTTTGGGACTGGGAATCTCGTCAGGGTCAAAGGAAACATGAAGTCTACGAGAAGAGATTGAAAGACAAATGCAGGCAATCTACAACAAAAAGAACATCTCAGGTTACTTATGTAACCATGGTTCCCTGGGTAGGGAACGAGACACTTCGTCCTCTAGGGGTTGCTATGGGGGAACACCTCGTCGTGACCCGCGTGAAGCATACATTGAAAAAACACCAACTCGTTGGCCGGCGACAGCCATGACGTCACTACCAGTGCGACTATAGTATAAATAGGCGCCGGGAGCTACACATCATTCACTTCTTCGTCTGAAGCTTGCGTCCGCAGCATGGCAAGAAACCTAGAGGACGCAGTGTCTCGTTCCCTACTCAGAGAACCATGGTTCCCTAAGTAACCTGAGACGTTCCCTTTCATGGGAACTTCGAACTGCGTCCTCTAGGGGTCGCTGTGGGGAACGGTATACCCACGCCACCATGCTGAGGGGAGTGCAAGCCAGAACCATGGCGAGCACTAAGTACCAACTCTACCATATTGCTATGGGAGTCGACCCTGGGAAGTTAGACGGCTGTCAGTGACGTTATTCCCTACAGCCAAAGGCCTAGGCTACATACCCCAAAATACTTACCAGTTAGGGCCAGACTCCTGGGCCCGGGGTAGAGCTCAAGGCTTGGAATCAGAAATAGATTCCTTTAAGGGAATACGACCAAGAGCCTAGAATCATACTAGTCTTGGCCTGTCACACAGGGGCTACCGCACGTTTCTCTTTGTATGTGCTGAAGGAACTGTCTCAACAGACCTTTAGTAGCAACACCCTGTTATGTAGGTATCCAGAGGATACATAGGAGGAGTGGTGCCCAAGACGGAACCGGGGTTTTAAACCACTCAAAAAGAGCACAAAGTTTTTGCCCGTAGCTCTTACCATACAGGATTTTAGAAAAGTGGGCAAAGCATAACGTGCGCACTTACCAGCTATGTGGATTTTAGAAAAGTGGGCAAAGCATAACGTGCACACACTTGAATACCATTCTAGGGGGTTCTCGTGGCACCCTGAAAGAGCAGCCCATAGATAAAATAGCGTATCCCCAAGGGGCCTGATGATCACAAAGGCTCCCGCAGAAGCCTGTGTTATATGGCTGCATGATCCAGGAAGTATGAACATATATCGACGAGTGAAATAAGCACTGCAAGTCGAGCACCCGGTTTCTGAACCCAGCAGAGGGGGTGCCCATCGAGGACCTACCCTAGAAAGGGACAGAAACACACAGGTCCCGGGAAACACTGCAAAGAAACTAGCAGAAGGGTATTTACACGCAACCACCAGTTCATTAGCACATATATATATATATATATATATATATATATATATATACATTCCAAAAGCTCATCATACGCAGGGCAGGAGGATTGGGAAGGCTCAGCCTCAGCTTCTTTGCCCTCCTCAGCTATTAACTGCTTTTGCTGGGCTGATCCCAGCAGAGCAATGGCCCCTGAATCAGACAGTGTTAATGAAATAACATCATCCTCCACCGGCTCACTCTCGTGCACAGCCGACTATCACAAAAGGGAAACCCCCCTTCAAACTCATCGGCCAGATCCACCTGCGATCCCCACGAGCTCATTCCCTTCCGTGCCTCAGCAGCGGCGGGGCCGGGATCGCGGGGAGGAGCAGGCTGAAATGAGCAAAGTGAACGTCCTTGACTGGCCTGCACAAAGCCCAGACTTGAGTCCAATAGAAAATTTGTGGGGCACACTGAAGACCAGAGTCCATGCCAGGAGACCAACAAATCTGGAGGAGCTTGAGAGATTCAGACGCTCCTGAAACTTGTTGAGAACTACAACAAACGACTAAAGGCTGTTATCAAGCAAAAGGGAGACACTATTGACTATTAACATCAGAAGGCTCATCATTTTGACCTGTAGACTTTTTGATTCTTGGTTATAATAAAGCAATAAGCCCCAAGAAGCCGTGGTTTACAGTAAAGTTATAACAGCTAAGGGGCATTGTTAGGAGTGCCTAAAACCCCCTTAGCTGTTATAAATTCACTGTAAACCACGGCTTCACGGGGCTTATTGCTTTTATAAAACGATTATTCCATATACGTAGTAAGGTTTCACAAAATAAAACGGAGCAAATAAAGTGTAATGATATAAATAAAAACAGTATTCTTCCACCAAACAATGTAGTTCCTCAGAATCAGTTGTGGTTGCAACCATAGCGATATATACAAAGATGGCTCATTTTCTATGCGCCGCTATACGTAAGCTATACGACCATATTGTAATGGTCAACTTGACATCATTCACCATAGTAATCACTGAATATTTGAAAGATGCCACAATCCTGCACAGAACAGCTCAACGGCTCTGTGAGAACCTACAGTATGGTGAATGACGTCAAGCAGACCGTTCCAAGATGGCGGCCGTATCTACGTGCCTGGAGTCGTCGAATGGGGAATCTATACATATCTATGGTTGCAATAAAGTGGTGGCCAAGCAACAGACAAATGTAAACAAAGGTGTATGTTTGTAGAGTAATTTACAACAGCTTCGAACATGGCTCAGCCAATCAGAATCAAGGACCGGAACTATCCGATTTATAATTTTGTTTCTATTTGTATTACAAACACGCCAAGTTTCCTAAATAAACTATTATGTTTAGAAATGCTGTCGGAAAAAAATCTTCACTCCGTTAAACAGCACTTTATGTATATAATTTATTTTTATTTGTAATAATAAATATATTAACTTGGTTAATAACACACACACATACACTGAAGAAAAAAAACATGTAGATTTACTTAATTTTTATTTTGCAAGTTTTTGCACACACAAATTTTAAGTAAAATTTAAGTATTGAATTAAGTAAAATTTGCTTAACCAAGTTAGGTAAAATTGGCAAAGGAAATAAGTAAATTTAACATGGCCAGTTAGAGTTTGATGAGTAATGTCTACTTAATTATTTTGTTAAATATGCAATACTCAAGTACATTTCCCTCAGTTACAGTTTATAAAATTTACTCAAACACTGTGGCACTGGAAAACAACCATGCTATTAAAGCATGTAGTTCACTTGCAAACATGTAAGTAAGCTTCACACAGGCACCTTCCCCACTGCATTCAAGCAGGCTCGGATAACCCCACTGCTCAAAAAACCTACATTAAACACTTCACTTACAGATAGCTACAGACCTGTCTCTCTCCTTCCATTCATAGCGAAAACCCTCGAAAGAGTTGTTTTCAACCAGATATCATTGTTTCTTTCACAGAACAACAAACTGGATCCTAACCAGTCAGGTTTCAGGAGTGGCCATTCAACTGAGACTGCGCTACTGTCAGTCACAGAAGCCTTGCGGATTGCAAAAGCTGATTCCAAATCATCATAAGCAAATAGACAGCTTGTTAACCTTTGAAGATAATATGTCCACTCAATATAATTATTACCTAAACGAACACAGAGACCTCAATACCTGGTACATCATACACAATGACGATAACAATCAGGGCATAGTGTTTGAGTATAAATGGGTCATTTTGAGTAGAAAATTAACTCCAGATATCACAAACAGTAAGTTACTAAACCTAACGACAAAATCAGCCATAAAAAAGTGTAAATCCAACTCGAAAACAGTGAAAATTTTAATTCATGATAAATGGATTATTCATGCCCCAGTGTATGATGGGAAAAACGGGATCCCCTTGATATTTGCTTAAAGAATCCTTGTAAACATAACAAACAATTCCAAGTAAAATATGCTTATAATTTCAAACTTTAATTTCTACAAACTTAAATTGAGTACTGATATAGAATTTACTTTATTTTTTAAATTCTTGCCTGAACTAAATTATTTAATGTAGAAATTACATTTGTTTTTATGTAGTATTTACTTCACCACAAAATCATTTTGATCAGTGTGTATATATATATATATATATAGGCTAGTTTAGTTAAACATCTTCACTGTCATGACATGCTTATATTTATGAAAACTCTGATTTCCTCAAATAGCTGCCAGTTGGAAACATCCCCTCGCTGTCGTCCACCAGGGAGGTTCACCTCATTGGGCGAGGCAGGGCCGTTCTTTCTGGCCAACGCAGGCAACGGAACCGCTCATTGTCCCGGCACGAGCCCCCAGCGTACATCTGTCACAGGAGGAGATCCAGAAGTTGCGCTTCAAACCCACCGTGGGCACAATCCAGCGGTCAGAGGGGGCAGAGGTCAAATTTAACTGCTCCATAGACATCAATGATGTGAACCAGGACCTGAATATTCTGTGGTTTAGGAACGGTAAGGAAATCCCTGATGGCATGCAGACGGAGGTCTACAGTCAAGGGACGGTCACCCTGCTGTCCACTATAAGGTAATTATGCCCAATCCTTGTGTTAGTCTACCAACAGCCATGTCAATGGATATTTTTTACATTTTTGTCAATATAAAGGAAATCTCATTTTTTGTAATTAACAGTAATAAAATAATTTTATATATTTATTTATATTAATTTAAATAAATGTAAATAAATTATTTAAAATCTAAATCTCAAAATTAATTTCGTTTTTTTTTTTTCTTCTACAGTTCATTTAAATGATGCTTTGGTTATAAAACTTCTGCGAAATGATCACATTTAAATGTCTAATGGTTTGTTTAACTTCAGCAGTGTTATGCATGTCTCAGTTGCTATTGCATTAAATTGCATCAGTCTATGAATGTTATATCTGCACTATATCAGTCATTGGCCACCTTTTTTCTTTAAAGGGGTCATATGATGCTTTTTTAAAGATCATTATTTTGTGTAATATTCTGTGTGTTTTTGTCATTTTTCAGTTTTGTTTTTCAATATCTATATTTAGCTTTATTTTAATTTCATGTCATTTGAGGACTCGGGGCAATACTTCTAATTTTCATTTAGCTTATTTTAATTACATTTTTTCATTAATTTAGCTTTATTTCAGTTTTTGTTTGAGTAATTTTAAAACTTTTTATCTGATATGTATATTTGACATGTTTGTTCTTTTTTAGTTTAGTTTTTTTATTTTTATGTTTAGCTTTATTTCAGTTTTTGTTTTAGTAATATTAGTGCTTCAATCGAATCTTAGGTAATTGTCAGTCAGTGCAACATTTCTCATTTTCATTTCATCTAATCTTTATATTTAAATTTATTTCAACTTTAATTCAATGAAGGAATTAATTTTTTAATAGTTTTTGTTTTAGCTCACAATGACAGTGTTGCGGTGAGTAGCCTTAATAGCAACAATCTGAGCTCTCTTAAGCATTTACTTTCCAAACAGATGATATCATAAAACCTCATTTAAATCATTTTTTGACAGATTCCTAAAATTGCTCAAATGTGTTTTCTCTTTATTATGGCAGGTGGTCTAATAAATTAAGCACTGTATGTTTTCATAGCATTCAGCTGGAACGTTTGTTTTAAGGACATTGGGCAGAATGTGGAATAGTATGTTTTTGTCAATAAAATAAAAAAAGAAAATTGTTTGTTTTTAATCAGATTAATAAAAAAAAAACAATCGACCAACTAATCGATTATCAAAATAATCGTTAGTTGCAGCCCTAGTTTGTTTGTTAGACTAGTTTGTGTTAGTGTTTAGTTCACAAATTACATGAGTTTCTGATTCTGCCTTGCAAATTAATGTCCCTTTACGATTTTGATCCTTGCTACATGCTCTAATGCATTAATACTGTATGAAAGTATTTTCTGTGGCCACGAAAATATCCTTTCCTAGAGTTGATATGAACTTACACTGAATGTTCGCTGGACGAACAGATTAGTTGAGGGCAATTTAATCCTGCTACAGTTACTACTGGCAGCTGATATAAATAATTGTAATTAATCATAATTAATTGTAATTATTTATATACATTTCCCTTTTGAGCTGATTTGCTACAAGAGTGATGGCTTGTTATTTAATAGAGCACCTTTAGAAACCGTATTACAATGCCCTGGCCATTACCCAGAATACCCTAGCATGATAGCAGTGACCACTCACAGTTTCAGCTTAGATGTTTTTTTTTGTGGTTAATCTCCTAATGGTAATCGGTTTCTTGGCGACAGGCGTTAACCCGAGTTATTGTGAAAGCAGGAGTTTTATGGTTAAAGTTTACTCACCCGGTGCTAATATCACACACACAAAAGCCTCATTCAGGGGCCCCAGCGTCCCTGCAGAGCCTCGTAAAGAACGGACAGAGCCAACTTTAGCTGGCTGGAGCCGAGAGCTCTTTAAAATAAAGGCTTTTTAATGCTTCTTTGCAGCACTGTTTGTTCAACAATAATAATCGTCTTGTCCGGAACCATTTTAGTTGTTTATACTCTTATTTATGGTCCTTTGAAATTAAAAAATGTTACATTATAGGTTCTTCAGATCAGCCTATTGGTTCTGCATATTATCGGTGATCTTTTAAAGAAGCTGAAAGTGAAGCACCTTTGAACTCTTCAAAGGACCAGAGCATAGATAGTTTTCTGAAGAACCAAACTACACTGTAAAAGATTATTTTTCAAATAAAATAAAACAAAAATAGTTTGTTTAAATACACTTTTTTTCCCCCCGGTGGACATTATTTAAACGGTCATATACTGTTGCTGTTGTGTTTTGGTTGGTTGCTGTGGTGTTCTGAGTGGTTGCTAAGGAGTTGTTAGTGTGTTGCTAGGTGGTTGCTTAGGTGTTATGAGTGATTATTATATCAGATTACATTATAGGGCACAATGTACTGTATTAATTTGAATGAATTTTCCATATTTATTTATTTTTTACAGGTCTCACACTTGTATTTTGAATTTTGCACTTGTTTGTAAAAAAAAGTGCAAAAAAGTGTTTGTAAAATTACCAGTACAGTTTTTTTTTGTTTTTTTTTACTGTAATGCGAGGTGGTTGCTGTGGCTTTCTGGGTGATTACTGTTGCATTGCTAGATGGTTGCTATACTGTTCTTGGTGGTTGCTAGGTTAATGTTAGGCAATTATGTAAAGAAATGGATAGAAATATTTTAATATTTGAACTATTTAAACATATGAATTGGTAAATAGGCACTCAAATGGCATATACTGTATATCAAGTATATATATAATTGCTTTACAAAAAAGTAAGGTACCAAGGTACAGGGATATGAAATGGTATGATGGTGTTTTGATATGGAACTGATTCAGAACCATATTTATACACTATGGTAAATGGTCATATATCTTTTTTATTAATTACATTTCTTCCCCTGTGGTACGCTTTTCTTGTTAGTAAAGTTTAGTAAAGTTTTCTGTTTTTCCATTTTTCAGCTCCAGAATCCGGGTCCAGAACTGACTTTAACAAGAACTTCTTGTGGCGATGCATGTGAAGTATTAAGCTTCTAAAGTGTATATTTGTGGAACAGATCTGTGATGCTTTTTGTTCAAATGCCGTGAAAAGTAGCTATGTTTCCATCCAAAGTTCTGAATTTAACTAATGTGCGAAATTGGAATTACAAATTCCAACCGGCAATACAAAGAGAACAAAATCCTAACTTCCTGATAAACTGGTGCCAAGTTTTAGAAAAAGTTAATTTGCTGCAGTAGGAAAAGCCACTGTGGGTCTTTCTCCATATAAAATACATTTCTTGCACCTCAGTATGCAGATGAAACGCAGTAAACACCGTCATGTTATCTTGCTTTCGGAGACTTATGCCTGATGTTTGGGAATGCAGTCGTTTAAGACAGTTTTGGAAGGTGATTATACTGAACCACTTTGATGACAGTCTTTGCCTCAGGCATTTCAGAATGACCAAAACTACATTTCAGATGCTGTGCAATGAGATCGGTCCGCTGGTTAGTGCAGTTATGCCATCTCATCACCAAGTCACATGTTTTTTTTTGATGTGCATCAACTATGTTTCCATCATAGTTTATGCACTTTTTCTTATTGGATTGAAATTTGTCCACCTCAATTGAGCGCACAAGTTTTTAATGCACATTTTTTGAATTTATGCACATCTTGGCATTTCCATCCAGCATTTTTTTTAATGCACATAAAAATAGGTGGATGGAAACATAGCCAGTGTTAAATACATTGCTCTAGGCAATAAAAAGAAAAAGAAGAACAATAATGTAAAATAGAGTTTCATATCTGTATAAAAATATGTAAAACTATGTAATTAATTGTATAGTTAATTTTAGATCCTGACTACAGAGGTGAGTTATTCACTATCCACCACTGCTCTATCTAGTTAAAGATCTGTAAATGCACATCCAAAGGGCCATTAACGAAGTATAAAATGGCTTTTATCTGGCTCTGAATATGACAATTCAGTTTGAAGATTAGATCAGATATGTCCATTTCTGAGTGGAATAAGTGCATTTTTCACCTCTCACGGATGATGGACACAAAAAGGCTCTCTAAGATTGTGGTAAAACCACATTCCGCCTCACTTCTCCATTGAAAGTGCCATTACTTACTGGAATTGTTTCAAACAGTGTTGAATACAGAAAGCCTCTGATTTTCCATGTTGGACTCGGGCTCACTGTCCTGTCGGGCTCACAATGGCTGCATTACGTAATGCACACACAAACACTTTCATTCTCTCTCTGGATGATGTGATGTGTGTTTCCATTAAGAGGGAACTAGTTAGAGCTGGATATGACAGTTTCCCATGCTCGGACCAGCCAGTAATTACCGCTCAAGTTTCTAAATGTGCACATAATGCTGAATTCTGTGAAGCTATTATGAAACCACTGCCACAGAGAATGCGCTTAATCTCTCAGAGCATATTATGCACCGGCTACACTTGTGTTTAGATGCAAGAGTCAAAACTGAAATGTAAAATATAAAAGATGCTTCACTCCCTCCTAATAACAAGTTAACTAGCCAACATTTCAGATTCCAAACTGTTCCCTAACACGGCTGGATGGTTGATAGGGTGTTGCTGTTGTATTCTGAGTGGTTAATAAGCAGTTGCTTAGAGCATTGTTGATGTTTTGTAGTTGTTAGGGTGTTGCTAGGCTGTTCTTGGTGGGGAAATTTGAATTGTGATATTTTTTTCTGATAAAACATTGTGATTGCAGTTTAAAAAAAAATATTATTATTAATTAATTAATAATTCTAATAATAAATAAAATATTAAACAAACAATAAATATTACTGTTGTAATATTTCATTAAAACGTTGTGTATTCAAGATCAAATATAAGAATAATTTTATTTTACAGTACAGCTACAACAGTAAAATTACAATTCTAAAGTTTATTTAAATTGTGTTTAAATGCAGTTTTAAAAAAGCCATTCTGCTTGTTTGTAGGGCTGCCCAAAATGTTGTGATCTTTTTTTGTAATTTGATTAATTAATAATAATAATAATAATAACAAAAAGAAAAAGAATAAATAAAAATATTAAACAACATAAGAAATATTACTATTTTAATGTTTCACTAAAACAATTGTGTATTTAAGAATTTATATTTAGAATTCTTATTTTTTTTATTAAAAACAACTTTATTTTACAGTAGGGTTGTGACGGTGAGGAAATTTTCCCACCGGTTAATCGACATGTGACAACACCGGTAATACCGGTATCACTGTGGGGGCGTGGGCATTTCCTCTTTTCCTCACTTTCCTTCGCTTTTAAATAGCTTGCAAAAGCGGCGTGCGTATTTTACTTTCACTTTCAAATAGCGGCAATTCGGCGTAAAGCAATTGTTCGTTTGAATTTTCCCTCTTTTCCTCACTTTCCTTCGCTTTTAAATAGCTTAAAAGCACTAGTATTTCGAATTCGTGGCAATTTGGCATCAATTGCTTGAATGCAACAACAAAATACAACGTCAAACTCACTTTAGCCTAAATATAAAACATAGAACTTTTATTAACAAAACGAATAAAAATGCACCATGCTATAGGGCAGGCTATGCCTAATATAAAATAACAAATAACTTACATAAAGTTTAAATAGGTAGCCTATACAAAACTGGAAATAAGTAAACATGTATAATATAGAACCAAATAAATAAGAAACGTAAAACGTTTATTAGCAAAACGAGTAAGAAAGCTTGGAGGCACGGCATACACCTTGATGTCAAATAAAATAAATAAATGACACAAAGTTTAAATAAAGTAAAAATCAGCAAACAATGTGGAACCAATTAAATAAGAAACAAATGTTTTAAAAAAACTTCCAAAATCACCTTAGATAAACGGCAAAATCAGCAGGCTTTACAAATTCCAAAATATTGCCAAACAGGCGCTTTTGCATTTCGTTTCGAAACTAAATCATCCGCCATCGTCTTGTCTGTCTCACCTCACTCTTCTTGTCAGTCAGCTCGACTCACTCTCCTCACTGGAGAAATGAAATCTGATCTGTGATGCGACTGTCGTTCGGCACGCTGCATTGAACAGCCGCGTTCAGTTTTTAATTGTAATGTCTGTTCTTTTACTGAACTAAATTATTTTTATTACTATAAAAAATCTAAATGACGATGTGGGTCGGTGCTGCGGTGGGCAAGTGACGTAACCGGTGTTGGGGCTTAACACCGGTATCACCTTAAGCACCGTCTATCGCGGCAAGCTTATTTTACAGTACATCTGTAAAATTACAATATTGAAGTTTATGGCTCTCTTAATTTCTTCATTTTCAAATGTTAAACCATCAAGCTTTTATTTTCACAGAAAACTGCAGGGAGCACTTAAAGCTACTTTCTTGTTTTCAACAGCTGGTTCATGAGGGCATCTCATTACAAGTTTGGCAAGACGGTTGGTGCATGTTGCATTTTCAAATGCACGTTATACTGTAAGCAACCCAAACTCAGAGCAGATGCAGATGTAAGTTTGTGTGGAGCAGCATTTACTGTGACTCAAGCCACTCTGCGACTCTGTAAACACCAGATCATGAGCTGCTCTCGAGTAAAAGCACACATTGAAACACGCTCCACATATATTTATTTAAAGGGTTATTCCACCCCAAAATGTAAATTTTGTCATTAATCACTTACCCCCATGTCGTTCCAAACCCGTAAAAGCTTCGTTCGTCTTCGGAACACAATTTAAGATATTTTGGATGAAAGCCGGGAGGCTTGTGACTGTCCCATTGACTGCCAAGTAAAAAACACTGTCAAGGCCCAGAAAAGTATGAAAGACATCTACAGAATAGTCCGTCTGCCATCAGTGGTTCAATCTGAATTTCATGAAGCGACGAGAATACTTTTTGTATGCAAAAAAAACAAAAATAACGACTTTATTCAACAATTCGTCTCCTCTGCGTCACCATAGCACCATTTTGGAGAGTGTCCACTGAACACAAACAGCGTATGCTGTTCGGTGTCAGCCGCACCACATTGATACGCTGTTTTCGTTCAAATCAAAGTGTAAATAAACGTAGAAAACATATCCGTGTGGTGCGGCTGACACAGACAAGTAGAACAGTATACGGTGAGTGTGATTTCACCAAGTACAACATGTTCCTGGATCAACATCCTTGTTGATCCTGGAACATCATTCCAATCAACCAATCAGAATTGAGAGATAACTTTTCAGGAAATGTCAGTTTTAGGCTTACAATCAGGATTAGGCGCTTCTACACCCTTGTTAATCAGCTATCATTTCACACTGATTTTAGGAATAAATTATGGGTAAGGTTAGGCTTAGGGGTGGGGATTGGGTTAAGTCTGTATTTTTGGACAGTAATGTTGATCCAGGATCAACAAAAGATGTTGATCCAGGAACATGTCTTACTTGGCAATATCACGGTGACCAACAGTATACGCAGTTTACGTCCAGCGGATACTCTCCAAAATGGCGCTACGGTGACGCGGAGGAGACGAATTGTTGAATAAAGTCGTTATTTTTGTTTTCTTTGCGTACAAAAAGTATTCTCGTCGCTTCATAAAATTCAGATTGAACCACTGATGGCAGATGAACTATTCTGTAGATGTCTTTCATACTTTTCTGGGCCTTGACAGTGTTATTTACTTGGCAGTCAATGGGACAGTCACAAGCCTCCCGGTTTTCATCCAAAATATCTTAAATTGTGTTCCAAAGACGAACGAAGCTTTTACGGGTTTGGAACGACATGGAGGTAAGTGATTAATGACAAAAATTTCATTTTGGGGTGGAGTAACCCTTTAAATTGCAGCAAGCGGTTTTGTTTAATTCAATTAATTTTGAGTTATTATGTTTAATCATGCAGCCCTAGCTGCTGGGATGTTGTTTGGCAGTTTATACCTTTCTATTTACTTGGTAATCCAGAATACTGTAAATGTTGGAGTTACCATGGTACATAAAAACATTGCTTAAAATCATTGTTTGTTAGCGTTATAGTAAACACTATGCCAGAGCAATCTCAGATTCTGTTGCATCCATATGCAGGGCCTGCTATCACGGCTGTTCTCAAAACCCGATAATTACAGGCCATCAGAAATGTAGCGTATACTTCCTGGCACCTGTACAGACGTACAATCTGTCCAGCCTGCATGCATGTTTATTTGTAACCAAAAGTCAGCTTCTTTTTGTAGCTTTTTTTTTTTGTAAATCTTCTAAATTTAGTCAGTTTGATTCATGAAAAGGAGTTTGGAGAGACTCCATTTGTATGGAGTCAAATGATCAGTCATTTTTCTGATGAACTAAAGCTAAAAATATGAATTTAACTTCACAAAACATTCCTTTTCCGAGCTGGGCTTTGGCTCACAATGTTTCTGTGCAGTTTCAGCCTGAAATAGTTTATTTTAAAGTTCAAACCATGGTCATATGGCAACTCTTTGTGATTAATTAGTTTCAAATGGGTGGTTTAATTAAAATGTATTTGAATGTTGTACATTGCTTTTTAACTAAATCTTTTCTGGGTAAGAGGCAGAAAAAGTCTTCTTGTCTTCTTAAAGGAAGTCTACCTCAAGAATAATTAATGCAAAACATCCCTGTGAGTTGGTTTCAGCAAATTAGGTATCATTTAGGAAAGTTTATATTCAAGAAACCTTTCTTTCCCATGTCTAGACTGAACCCGTAATCATTCCTACATTGAATCTATTATGTTTGTATCTTTTTCCAGACGCTGTTTCATTAGCATAGTTCAGTCGCTTGAAAACGGAGGCACGATCTGTCCCACTGACAGTCAGAGATAGACACAACAATCTGGTGCTTCTGAATCAGCTACTGTTTTGTTATTATTTTAAGTATTTGCTATTGACTGTTCAAATGCGGAGTTTTGCGCATTTGGTGTGTGTGTGTGTGTGTGTGTGTGTGTGTGCGCGCGTGCATGCGCGTGTGTGAGAGAGAGAGAGAGAGAGAGAGAGAGGATCACATCACAAACACATACCAGCTTCATCACGGTGTCTGTCACGCGACTCTGTTCCCCTTTCGGGCTGTCTTTACATTTATTTTGAAAGATGAAGCTCGCGATTATGGTAAGGGTAAATTTCCGACGAGTGCTTGCGGTGTTCGACCAATCACAATGCACTGGGTCAGCTGGCCAATCAGAGCAGACTGCGCTTGTCGGAAGGAGGGACTTTGTAGAAAACGAAGCGTTTGAGAGAGGCGGGGCATAGAGGACCTACAATAATGTACAGTATTTGAAAAATAATGTGTTTTTTTGAACATTAAAACATGTCAACATATTCTGTTACACCAAATACACAAAATAATGATCTTTAAAAAAACATCATATGACCCCTTTAATGTTTCCATTTAACTTTTATTTTATTTTATTTTTAGTTGTAGTAATTTTAGTACTTTTTTATTTCAGTTAGTTGTCAAGAAGACTTTTCTAATTTTTCAAGTTTTTTCAAGTCTAAGTTCTTCATCTAATATTTATACTTCCATTTCATTTCAGTAAAACAAAAAGTAAAAGATTTTTTATATTTTTTTTAGAGCTTCCTGACAAAGTGTCAAAGGTCACAGTAGTAAAACGTGAGGCCAACAAACTCCTCATAAGCTGGACACCGGGACACGATGGCTTCTCTCCTCTCAGCACATGCTCCATCACAGTAAGAAGGACAAAAGAATGAACATTGCTTGTACAAGGTTACTGAATTGTGATGAAACCTCTGAAGAACATAGTGTTCAGTTCAGTTCAGAATGGATATGACCCTTCAGTATAAGATTCTGCACGCATTTTAACATCCACCAGGTTGATCCTAATTCTGATCACTTGGTAAAGTAACAGCACACCTTCTAAATTTGAAGAAACACCACTAAAAGCTTTGATTGAATGATGATTGTCATCTTTAGAACAAGTAATAAATGTGTTATCCTTCATCTGTTCCAGGTGCGAGAGCTTTTGGAGCTAGGAAGCCCCACTGCCGCACACCCCACACGCGTGCCTCCGTTCCAGTATGAAATCAGCAACCTCAAGGCCATGACCTGGTACAACATGAGCGTGTCCTGCACCAATGAGATCGGGTCGTCCCTGCCCAGCGCCTGGGTCCAGAGCAACACCACAGAGGGCGGTGAGTCTGTTCAGATTCCTGGAGCAACGTCCTGTACTACTTGTAAATAAAACTACCATTCAAAATGTTTTTGAAAAAGTTTTCTCCTGCTCACCAAGGCTGCATTTATTTAATCAAAAATACAGTAAAATCAGTAATATTGTGAAATATTATTATAGTTTCAAATAACTGTTTTTTATTGTAATATATTGTAAAATGTAATTTATTCCTGTGATGCAAAGCTGTATTTTCAGCATCATTACTCCAGTCTTCAGTGTCACATGATCCTTCAGAAATCATTCTAATATACTGATTTGCTGCTCAGGAAACATTTCTGATTATTATCAATGTTGAAAAAGTAAAGAGATGCTACAAGTCACTAATGTAATATTTCCAGTTAACTCTGCACACTGGAAATGGAAGATGAAGCCGAGTGTATTAGAGTCAATGAGAGAAGTAGCATTTTGCTAATAGGAGAAAGACAATTATGTATTTGATATCCAAGAGTTTTCCGAATGTTAAGTGGGAATGGGAGTGACCTGGTAGTTAGAGATGCTTTTCCTATGGGATGTGTCCATGAAGGATTTCCTCTGTATTCCTAAAAGAACAGTGAAGGGTATTTTTAGTCTCTGATAAACATTGTGTTTTATGTCATACTGTACTTCTAATTTAATACAATATAAAAGTGGGTACTTCTTTAAAAAAAAAAAATAATAATAATAAAAATATATATATATATACTATATTATTATTATTATTTATTTTTTATTTTATTTTATTTTTTCAGTTTTATTTTTTATTTCCAATTTGTTGAGTTTAGTGCTTCAACTTCAACTTATTTCAATTATTTCTATTTTTTTGTTTAGTTTTTATATTTTATTTTATTTCTGCTTTATTTCAATTAACAAAAGTGTTTTTAATTTCTTTTGCATGGGAACCATTATTTCCATGCGTATTCATTTATTTTATTATTTTCATTATTTTATTTTTTGAAGGTCCTTGTATGCCTTCATATTTTTACAAAGTCTAGACAAGAAAAAGCCTTCTTAGATAAAATTATTATGTGAAGTAATTTTTTGTCTGTTCATTTGCGTTGCATGCTACTCAAGAGATGATTTATCTGAAATGATTTTACAGTTCCATCAGAAGCTCCCCAAAACTTAACTGTTCATGTGAACAATTCCATGCTGATGATCCGATGGGAGGCTCCGCCCCCTGACAAGTTGAATGGAATCTTGCAAAGATATGATGTCACAATTAAACACGGAACACGTACAAACAAGGTTAGTAAATGGGTTTGCTAGTTTTGTTTCGTGTACTAACAAAATTGACTTTACTAAACATCAATCACTGAGAAACAGAATCATCTCTTCTGCTTCTGTCTTTCACTCACAAAACTCTTTGCACTGTCTGTTTTTATTTAGAAATCAGCTTAAAATCATTAGAATCCCAATGTCGTCCCAGCTTGTATGTATAGAGAGTATATATTTCAGATTCTGTAACTGGTCACTGCTTCTTTGCAGATAAAGTAAAATTGAAAGTAAAAAAAGAACTATATAGACATTAAAAAAAAAAAATCAACAAAATAACTAAAACTTACTTAAACAGAAAACTTACAAATAAAATTCATTCAAAATATTAACTAAAAGTATATCAGGGATACTAAAATAACACTGGTTGCAACCCATGGCCTTTTCAACAAACGTTCATTTCTGGGTGAACTATTCGTGTAAAGGAGAAGTATGTAATTTCTCCACCGCAAGTACAATTGGAAAAATAATGACTATATATAGATATTTTTTTTTTTAACCCAGATTGGGTTGTATGTGCAACTAGAATTGTTTTCAAGGCCAGGTGTGTAACAAGAAGTTGAGAAATCTGAACTTATTACACTGAACACGTGCCTATAGTCACCTCTCAACGCCCTGTGTGGTCTTTGTCAATGACCAGTGACCTATCATATGGGAGTGGTTTTGTTACAGCATGGCATTTAGTAGACAATGTGTACTTCCTGTTTCTGGCCTGGGTAGCAGGAAACCGACAGTGTGTGGAGAAGTCATTTGTTATTGTCCGTCTGTCATGACTCACCACTGAGTGACCTGGAATTTAATGACGACGCGTCACTGTCTGCGATTAACAATCTGCCGTGACTGACCTGTGTGATCTCACACTGTGAACACAACAGTAACTGGAAATGAGTGTCATGCATTCACTCACAGCTGCTCTCTGACCAGCACCTGCTGCTCTCCCTCAACAAAATCACCTATTAGTTCATCATGTAACATTTGCTCATAGAAAAGTGAATGATTTTGACCTACATTTATGTTTTAAAACTAGCAGACTTTTATGTGCACATTCTTATAATTTTCTGTGACAATCTCATAAAACGTTTCAAGAGCATGTACAGGGCAGTGTTATTTTAATATTATTTTTATACTGTTATAGTTTTTGTTTATATTTTGAAATAGATTTTATTTGTATATTTTTTGTGCTTATGTCAATTTTATTATTATTATAATTTTTTTTTATATATTACTTTTTAGGTTTGATTAATTTTTATTTCAGTTTTAGTGTTAGTTTTATTTGTTTCCCGTTAGCAATTTTAGTGCTTGAATTATACTTGTTTCAGTTAGTGGCCAAGATAACATTTCTAATTTTCTTTTAGTTTAATTTTGTTTGTTTGGTTTAATTGTTTTGGTTTAGTTTTTCATCTAATAATTATATTTAATTTTTTGCACCTTTATTTTAATCAACAAAAATGTTTTTAATAGCTATTTTTAGTCAACAATAATAATGATAACTATGGTAAAGGGTATTTTTTCACCTCAAAATAAAAATATATATATTTGTATTTTTTGTTTTGTTTTGCACATGGCAATTCTAATCCAGTTCCTGGTATAGTTCAGTTATGCTGATTTAAATAAGGCTTTGTATTACAGGTACATTTACATTACAGGTAGCTGGGAATATATTTTGGTTTAGACCCTAAACCCTTGAAGAAATCCAAATAAATATTTATTTATTCAGTGCACTGCAGATCCTTAGATGATTGAGACTGTAATGCACTGCAGGAGGTGATCAGGTTTATATTCAGTAAGTGAGAGTGTTTTAGTCGATCAATTTCTTGGTGAGTTTGAAAGTGTGTTGTTTAAGGCTGGGTTGAAATATAATGGCTTTTCTGACAGCAATCCGAGGGTTCCTTGAAAAACTTCAGGACCTGTAAAAAACACACAAAAAAAACAGGATGCAATTATGTGTGCTAGACGACCAGAAGTGGCTCATCGCAGTGGCTGGGCCAAAACATTTTTCTTTTTGGTTTATTTTTCTTTCTAGCATCTATTTAACCTTGATGTATTGTGTTGCTTCTCATGCATGGCCAACAGAAATGTGCAGAAATTAAGATAATCATTAAAAGGTTCATCCCGAGACACCTGGAGGACATTCGGGCTTATGGTTCAAGGAAGAATTGACTAGGAAAACAAATATAATTGCAGTGTAAATCTGACCAGAGGCATGGCAGACATTTACATGCACACACCCTAAATACCCTAAATACCCTGAGACGTACACCACGTGTACGTCTCAGGGCCCCTAGAATGACTCACTTCTTGTTTTTGGAGAACTGCAGATGCAGTTTTTAATTTGTGGATGTAAAAGCTACTAACGGCATGTGAAGACTTACTGACTTGGATTTCGTTGAAGTGTCAGCATGTCTGAGAGATTTTGGGAACAGGAGTGACGATGGCAACTTTACGCAACCAGCACCATGAATGTGTCACATGCATCTGTGTGTGTGTGTGTGTGTTAACCTTCCTGCGTCCCGCAAGCACATGGCTCACGAAAACAGCTTCTCCTTTTTGTTTTCTCTTTTTCCATCAAGCCTTTAAGTTTGGTTTTCACACTGTTTTTGGTGTGATTACACACAAAATGATTTTCTTTCCTGTAATACTAAACTATTCCTTAATACAACATTGTGTTGTGTAATATTGTCAAATTTTGAATTGAAAGAGGAAGAATGAGTTGATACGATACTTGAGTGGCCTATAGTATTTAAAAATGCTGCTGTGCTGATTAAATTGTGATGTCAGTTAACTAGTTTAACTCTGTATATTTATATGTCCAAAAACATGACATTCTTATAGCTTATAATGTAAATCTATGCGATCTTATTAACAGTATAGCAGATACTTGCATAAAATGCATATAAATACCAGTTGCCAATCTATATCTCCCAATAATATCTTAGCAAGAATATATTTAGATGCTCAGTTTTATGATCAAAACATGTAATGCAGTGCCAGTGCAGTACAATAATGATTGAGAGATGAATAAAATAAACGTTCCTCAAAAGCTTGATGATTATATATGATGCTAATATATATATATATATATATACTGTATATGGATAGTCAAGTAAACTTAAGATGCTTCAGTCTAAATGCCAAACTAGCATAAGCCAGCTTGGACCAGCATGGAGATTCACGCTGCTCTGTGCTAAACTTTTGACCGTACAATGATTAAAAATATTCTGGTTTTGTTCTGCAGGTTATATATATATATATATATATATATATAGTATTTGTGAAAATGTGTGTTTCAGATTCACAGCATCACCACAGAGGCCGCGGTGACGCTGCAGATGTTCAACACCACATACAGTGTGGAGGTGGTGGCCTGCACTCAGAGCGGCTGTGGGAGCAAAAGATCACGCTACTGGCTCTTTGTTCCAGACGCTGGTGAGGAGATGCTAGAACCTACACCTGGCTTTTACTGTTAGGAAGATCTTATGAAATATAGCAATGCAGTGACACTGCAAATAAATAAATAATAAAATAACAATAGTGATATTTACCTGACTATTTTTATATCATTTATATTTATTTATATATATATATATATAT